AATATTTCCTGAGCATGTCACATGCACCTGCCCTCAAGCACCTCAAGGAAGCCACAGTCTAACCGAAGCTCCATCATTTACAGGAGTTCCATCTGTCTGAGAGATCTGGTTTTCCTCGGGTATTTGTTCCAGCACTGCCCCACTGTCGTACCTACCAGGACAGGGTCAGGAGGGCAAGCCCGTGAGAGCTGCAGACCCCTCACCAACAGAAACTACTGGGGGTGAGTGAGTGAGGGGGGAGGGGGTATATGTGGGGAAATAGAGCTTTGAGGTAGGAAATAGTAGTATACAGTAGAAAGACAGTAGTTTCAATGAAAAATACTTTCTCTGGCTATGTAGAAAATACGTAGTGTCTCACTTAAGAGAATCCATAGTTCCAGGATGTAGACTTTACCTTCAAGTTTTATCCAAGGCATTTGATCTAAGTGCAGTCTATCCACAACATTAAGGTAGTTAGCTCCAGGAATTTTCAAGACGGCTTACAAAAAGACTTTAAAGAACTCATGTAGAACATTTAACTGGAAACAGCACTGTACTGAAGTTACTTTTAGTAGTAGTTAACTAACTTGAGATGGAAGCCACATAACACCTTTTCCAACTCCCAGGTTTGGGGGCTGATGGCTTTAGTTCAGACTTCCTTCTGCCAAGTCCCGCATTCACGAGTTACGAGTTAGCTGGATGATGGCTCTGCCCCTCAGGCTGGCCAGGGGATGATACCCCTCCTCATTAAGAACACAAGGGGCCTTTCTGTGGAGCTGGAGCTCAGTAAGCTCCTGCCTGTAGTCTGGGCCAAAACTATCACAGAGCTGCCTGATTCCAGTCTACACACCATGTGTTTGAGGAAGAATCACGCCTGGCTGCTCCTCCTGAAAAAACAAGACTTGCCCCCAACAGAGCAGATCATCACCTTCTGACTTTCCTCCTGTGGGATGCAGGTCATGAAAGCAGAGTCTGATTCAGGGTTGTTATTTTTTCCTTCTAGTTTAGAAATGGGAAAGGAAGGAGAGGGTTTTGTGGGTAGACCAGAAAGCCCAGCTTTCAAGGGTACAAGGGCAGCACTGTCTATGCTGGGGAGTAGCCAAATCTGGGGTGGGGGCAGGAAAGTGGGAGCAGGGGGCAGGTCCAACTGGGCAGGGGCGGTTGGGGTGGGGTGAGGGTGTGTCAAGGCCAGGAAGGTCTCATGGTCCAGTGAATGAGATCGAGATCTTTGCTCGACAATGCCAAAGGGGCCATTTCCTACTTTTACACCAGCGTGCTATTTTGAGACTTTTTTTTTTTAAGATTTATTTATTTTAAAGAGAGAGCACGCATGCGTGCGAGTGAACACAAGCAGGAGGGGCAGAGGGAGAGGGAGAGAATCTCAAGTGGACTCTGCATTGAGCGTGGGGCTCAATCTTACCACCCAGAGATCACCACTTGAGCCGAGACCAGGAGTGGGACACCCAGCGGACTGTACCACCCGGGTGCCTGTTTTGAGAGTTTTTAAAGCCGTTTTTTTTTCCTTACCCCAAACCAGTCATCCATTATTCTCAATTTAGCTTCTCCATGATCTCTGAATCAGAATCCATGGAAAAGGGAATTGCCCTGCCCGTCAGGGACAGAGCTCAGTCTTCCCAAGCCTCAGCCCATTCAGGTTAGTGGCTCCTCCCGCCAGACTGATTTTTGGAATATTCATTCTGCTTTGGGAGCATGAAAGGATTTAACTGTAGCTTTCAATGGAAATGCCAGCAGCCACAGCAGCGCCTGGGACTGTCTGCACGTGGCTCTGCTGTGAACTGTCCCGGGGTGGACAGGTTCCCCAGGTGCACACCAGCCTGCTCCCCATACCAGGCCTGCTGTACTGGACTCTTCTTCCCGACCCTGAAACTGAGAACCCATCACCTGTTCCCCAGGTCAGGACAGCTGGATCAGTGTGGAAATGAAAGGCTAATGACCTTCCAGGGATCAAATTAGAGATGTGGCTCCCAACTAATACCTAACAATCCTCTTGACTCAGCAGAAAACCACTGGCATACCCAGGGACATGTGATAATGTCACCAGGGCCCAGGAAGCACAGGGGCTGGTTGTGCAAACCCCTCTCATTGCAAGGGGGCAGACAAGGCCTCCACAGGCCCTTGTCCAAAGCCTTCTGACCAGAGAGCCCAGCCCTCTGCTGCTACCCACAGTCCGGGGCAGCTGAGGCGGGAGCCGCCCCAGCCCGAGGGATGGTGGACCCTGTGGCGTTTGGAACAATGTGCTGCCCAGCGCAGCAGCCTCAGCCCAGCTCAGAAGGAAGACACCCCCAGGGGACAGGGAATCGGCCATGTCATTTCCCTCACACCCTCCTCAGGCAGTCTCCCTGCTGCTTCCTCCTCCTCAGGTCTCAGCACAGGATGAAAGCCAGTGTGCTTAGCTGCTTGAAAGGTGTCCTTCGAAGAGGAGAATGCAAGCCTTTTCCAGAAGGTAGCCGTAGCCATTGTCAAGTCCTCCCGAACGGTGGGACGGCTCAGACTGGTAAAAAACCCTGTTCTTTAGGAGGATGAGAGAAGATACGAGGACGCACCGTTAGACTAAAAGTCACTTCTGAATCTATTCACATGGCTGCTGAGTGCCAGCGAAGGGGCACAGATCCAATCACCCTGGGGGAGAAGACTGCCAGCTGGAGTGGCCAGAACTAGCTCCAAAAAACAGCAGGTTTAATCAGAGTGGAGCCTCCAGGCAGGGCAAGCTGTGGAGGGGAGGAGAGCCCGGCAGGTGCCAAGGGTCTGGGTGGGTAAGGACAGCCTGGGGCCAGACTGCGGAGGGCTTTACGTGTCAGGCGAAGGAACTGATCAGGGGACTGAAATGATCAAACAGGTGTTTTAGGAAGATGAATTTGAAGAGAATGTGCGGGATGAATTGGAAAGTCTGGAAGCACGGCAACAATTAGGAAGCTGGGAGATTAATTCAGCTGTTGGAGTAGTCCTGTGTGAGTTGGTAAGGGTGTAAATGAGCACAGTGGCAGCAGAAATGGAAGGGGACAGCTGCAAGAGACATTGTTAAGAAAGAATGGATGAGGTTTGCTGCCTGATTGGATTGGGGACCCGGGGAGCTCCAGGAATCAAAGATGACACCAGAGGTTTGAGCGTGGGCAACCAGTAGTACATTGAACAGAAAAAGGCAGGTTAGAAGAGCGAGCTGGATGCAGCAGATGTGAATTCAGTTCCAGCCACAGAGAGTCTGCAGGACATCCAAGGGGAAATGTCTGACAGGTCAAAGGAGACACACCACCGGAGCTCAGGAGAGACGTTACGGCTGCTGCTGAATTTGGGAATCAAATGGAGTGAATGAGATCTCTGAGGAAAAGCAGAGACGGTGAAACAGAGGACCAAGACTGACCTTTGAGGAATGTCCACATTTAAAGGATTTCTATTCCAAAGCTGAGTTTAGAAGTGCCCCCCATATGCCGCTTGTCTTCACCCTTGAAATATCAGTGTAAAGTGTTCCATATATCAGTTTGAGAAAGCCCAGCAACCCAGCATTGTTATGTCTCAGTGGGGACTAAATTATAAACACCTAGGTTTGCTCCTACAACCAATATGGCTGAAGAAAAGGCTGATATTCACAGAGGGAAAAAAAAAAAAAAGGACAAATGATACAGTGAACATAATCTAAAAGATTGGTGGATTTGATCCCACAAGGATGAGTTAAGCAATTAAAAAAAAAAAAAACCTTGTGAAAAATATCCTATAAATAACTTAGAGAAAAGTAGATATTTACTCATTTTAACACAGAGACCAAAAAAAAAATTTACCATATTTGCAATGCACTGTCTTCCTGAAGTGTGAATTCCAACTAATTCATCAAAGTATTTTTAATAAAGGCTACATTAAAATATAAGCTGGCTCAAACACGTGTGAAGACTGGTCAATATAGGAAAGCCACCTAGACTATAGTAACCCACACTAGACTCACAGTAGGCAAACAAAACAGCTTTTCTTTTTTAGTCTGGATCTCTAGTCTCTTCACATGTATATTTCCCATACAGTCACTTGTAAAATAAAATATTATAGCTTTGAATTTTTGGACTAAAAGCTGTCTTAAGTCCCACAAAGAAAAAAATTTTGTCTTATGTGTTATTTAAATTTTTCTCCTTATTCCCTTTAATAAAGAATATGCAACTGAGTAGTTTAACAGCATAACAAGTGTTCTTCCATGACACCTTCAGTAACTTTTGAAATAGTACTTAGATTTTGATATGTTCTTATATTTAACATGTTTAATTTTTTCTTCTAAAATATCATAGCAAACATGTTTAACATACGTCAAAAACAGTTAAAAGAAACTTCCTTTCTTTTGGATATAAGACCTTTATAAAACAGGAACAACTTTTTGAAAAACAGAATTTACAAATTATTAAAAATGGGCTGCATATATAGGCCCAACAGGCAGTTACTCAGAAGATACTGGTTTTCGTTGTTTTCCGGTTTACATGTGACAGAACAGTCTCTAATAATATGTCAAACCAGAAAACAAAATGCAACTGCTAGCTAGCTTTAGAGATACTATATACAGATATATAAGAAAACAGAGTCAGCAAAACATACAAACTTCGTCACTTCTTACTCTCCAGATATTCGGAACATACCTAAAAATTTTCAACAGATGTTGTATGATCTTAGAGAACTCTTAAAATAATACAATATTATGGAATAGTCCAATTAAGTTATTAAAACCAAAGCAGCTGTTTCTTGATGTCTTCAGCCTTTTAACCTAAGACCCAAATAGTTTAACTCTATCAGTTAACATTTGATCCAAGAGTTGACTTTTTTAAATGCCAATACTCTTAAACCTCTTTCAAAAATACTTAAAATGCACGTAGACTAATATATTACTGAGAAGTTTATCTCATTTCTTTAAATATGGGCCATGGGCTGACTTGTAGAACAGTGGGTAAGCACAGAGATGAATTAGCAATTTCCTTGTTTCTTTTCAAGTATTTACACCAAACAATGCAACTGAAAGAACAATTTCTGCAGGGAAAAATTAGATGCATGATTCTCATTTGTAGGTTACAATGAAAAAGGACTCAAATTGCTTAATGAAGGGGAAATTGCACTGCTTTGGGTCAACAAATATCTGAAGGGTTGCAGTTTTATAGGCAACTGAAAAATCTGAAAGGTAATAAAAAAGTAAAAGTAATGTCTCTTGGTGTAGAAGATTTAGGACATACTTTTACAAGTAAGTTTCATAATAGCTGATTTTTCATTAAATCTAAAGAGTCTGTAACACACATATGTATCTTATTTCAAAAGAGGCAGTGACTCAGAGATGCTTAGATTCAACTTCCGGTTCAACCAAAGAAAAGTCCAAATGTTTGGAATTAAATGATCCACTACTCGCCAAAAATCCACAAAATATTCACACCGGACAGACCAAGATTAACTCTCCTATAAAGAGAAAAAAAAAAAAAGGTTTTAGTGGAATTGACTGAATGTCAAGCATTTAGGGTCTTTTTTCAAATAATGAAAACAAGAGTCTTGACAAGGAATACATATTTCATCAATGACATTTAATGCTATTCTGTAATGAGTTAGGTTACATATGGTTTATCAGGTGAACCCTAGTAATAGTAACTGCTTTCTTAACTGTGCTTAAAACCCAAATTTAGAACAAATGGATTTATGGGGTGTGGAAAATTAATTTTTTAGTAGATTTCAATAACTATTACACCAGATAGAGTTAACCAAATAATTTTAGCAAGTAAAAGTATCAATTAAAATTTTAAAATAGAGGATATAGGGATGCTAGGCCTCTCAGAGAATGTTACCTATTCAACTTGAATTAGGGATTTACCAATTATTACTGATGCTTTAGTGAATTTGTATATGGGGATTACTGATACGGCCTCAACTAAACCCTACTGTATATATAACAAAAAGAAAAATCTACTTCTACTCCATAGAGTACTACACCATATTCAAAATACAAAGGGAAGAGAGGGCTATAAGCTAAATTACTCATCTAACAAAATAAGAAATCAACCTCCAATGTCTCAAACTGAAGAATCAAGAGAGAGCTACATGCCTCTATTATGTGGAACCATGAGAGTAGTGTTAGAAGAAAAGACTAAATCGGGGCGCCTGGGTGGCTCAGTTGTTAAGCGTCTGCCTTTGGCTCAGGTCATGATCCCAGGGTCCTGGGATCGAGTCCCACATCGGGCTCCCTGCTCGGCAGGAAGCCTGCTTCTCCCTCTCCCACTCCCCCTGCTTGTGTTCCTGCTCTTGCTCTCTCTCTCTCTGTCAAATAAATAAATAAAATCTTTAAAAAAAAAAAAAAAGAAGAAAAGACTAAATCAGTTTCAAGTGGGCTTGGGAACACAGGGAACTGCTCATTTCTGTCATGAACTTACAGCACTACAGAACTTTAAAAATTATAAGTAGTTGTTAATTTTGATAAAAAAATTAAAAAATATATATATATTACAAAAATGCCCTTCAAAGAAGGTAATTTCTATATTAACTGGTTTTTCCCATTTCTTCAAGGAACTTCTTCACCAAAACTGCAAATGATAGGGGCACCTGGCTGGCTCAGTCAGTGGAGCGTGTGACTCTTGGATCTCGGGGTTGTGAGTCTGAGCCCCCTGTTTTATTTTTTTAAGATTGCTTAAAAAAATAAAATAAAATCTTAAAAAAAAACCCTACAAATGATAAATCTCAATTTGATAGAAAGAAATGTTTTAATTTTGGCTTTTTCGTATATAAGGCTAAGCATCTTTTCATGTTTATTAGCCATTTACACAACACTTTTCTGTGAAAGTCTTTTAGTCTATGACCATTTTCTGTTTTTATTTTCTAATGAATTTATTTTTTAATTTATTATTATTTTTTAAAAATATTTTATGTATTCATTTGAGACAGAGAGAGAGAGCACAAGCAGGGGGAGCCTCCGGCAGAGGGAAGGGAGAAGCAGGCTCCCCATTGAGCAGGGAGCCCGATGTGGGGCTCAATCCCAGGACCCAGAGAGCACGACCTGAGCCGAAGGCAGACACTCAACCATCTGAGCCACCCAGGCACCCCCTAATGAATTTATATATGCTCTTTATATATGATGGATATTAGCTTGGATTTGCTATATGTGTTCCAACCATAATATTTTGTCTCAGTTTGTCATTTAGCTTTAAGCTTTATTTATGGTTTATTTGCTGAACAGAGCCCTTAAATTACTGTGCAGTCAATTCTGTCTAGATTTTTTTTTCCCTTTTGGAAGTAAAACATTCATCTCATTCCAGTAACTGTACAAATATCTGGCATTGAATTGATAATGTATTTGGATCAATCTGCTGCTTTATGGGCATGATTCCAAATGGACTATATTTGAGCTACTTGCTTATTTCCTTTAAGTTAGATGATAGTAGTTTTTTAACCATTTGGTTGTTTTAGAATGTATTAAAAAGATTAATCAATCATATTTAAAAAGTTAATTTCAAAGCTTCTTTTCCCTTGGTTAAGAAAAAAATCTCAAGGGCGCCTGGGTGGCTCAGTTGTTAAGCAACTGCCTTTGGCTCAGGTCATGGTCCCAGGGTCCTGGGATCGAGTCCCACATCGGGCTCCCTGCTCAGCGGGAAGCCTGCTTCTCACTCTCCCACCCCCCCTGCTTGTGTTCCCTCTCTCGCTGTGTCTCTCTCTATCAAATAAATAAATAAAATCTTTAAAAAAAAAAAAATCTCAAATAAATAAAATATGTATTAGTTTTAGTCTAAAATGTTTCTTTCCCAGTGTAAGTTGCTTATTAAGAGAAGATAAGCACTTCAAAAATTTTATCAGTTCTTTTTGGCTTCTGAGTAAGTTATTAACCCCACTAAGTACTTTTTTTTTTTTTTTTTTTTAAGATTTACTGATTTGAGAGAGAGAGGGAGAAAGAGAACGAGCAGGGGGAAGGGCAGAGGAAATCTTCAAGCAGACTGCCCGCTGAGCATGGAGCCTGATGCTACATGCGGCTTGATACCACATCCATGAGATCATGAACTGAGCAGAAACCAAGAGTCGGATGCTTAACCGACTGAGCCACCCAGGCGCCCTCCCTAATAAGTACTTTTAGTTTATTTTAAGTAAGCTCTACGCCCAACGTGGGGCTTGAACCCACGACCCTGAGATCAAGAGTCAGATACTTGGGACACCTGGGTGGCTCAGTCGGTTAAGCGCCTGCCTTCAGCTCAGGTCATGATCCCAGGGTCCTGGGATTGAGTCCTGCATTGGGCTCCTTGCTCAGCGGGGAGCCGCTTCTCCCTCTGCCTCTGCCTGCTGCTTCCCCCTGCTTGTGCTCTCTGACAAGTAAATAAATGAAATCTATTTAAAAAAAAAGAGAGAGTCGCATGCTAACGACTGAGCCACGCTGGCGCCCCCATAATTTTAGATTTTCTAATAGACACCTTAAAAATTTTATAAAAAGCAAAAAGAAACAGGTGAAATTAATTTTAGTAATATATTTCATTTAACCCAATACATCCAATGTATTAATTCAACATGTAGTCAATGTACCAAGTTATTAAAGAGATCTCTTACTTTTTTTTTGGTCTTCAAATTCTAGTCTATATATTTTACACTTTCAACACCTCATTTCAGATGAGTCATGTTTCAAATGCTCAATGCCACATGTGGCTGGTGGCTGCTCTATCAGACAATGCAGGTCTAGAACATGTATAAAACAGGACGCCTAAACAAAAGTGAAAAGAGGCATGCATATCAAAACTGGAGTGGACCTTAGATGTTTTCCACTCCATGCCTTTCCCTTCACATTTTCTTAACCTCAGGTTTTTAGACTCTCAGACCTTTGCATTATCAGATTTACCCAGCTTTACCTGCAGTCCTGTTCCTTCAAAACATTATTTGATAACACTAAAATTTTGAATCACCAAAAGGACCATACAACAATTCTGAATTTATTGTTAATAGCATGTGAGCTTCATTACTACATATTTAGAATAACAAAGTAAACAATTTCAACTGACCATTTTTCCACCCCAGTTAACAATAATATGGAATGGCTGCTGACTCAGTCTTTCTGGAAATATAAAACATTTTGCAGAAGGCTTTGTGTCTGATACGGGATGGCTTTTGTTTTGTTTTTAAATTTTAAAGTGGCAAGAGCCTGATATGGATCTCAGAGTTGCTCCTCTGAGGGACACAACTGTAAAGCCAATGATGTGGTCCAATGTAATGGAGGTTGGTGAGGAATGAAGGGACTTGCCCAAGAGAGCAGAACTGGTTAGTGACAGGGCTGGGCTTACACTAGAAGCCCAATCTCTTGTTCAGTCCACAATCCTTTCAGTATATGATGCTGCCTTCTGCAGAATCTTAACAAAGGAAGAAAAACAGTAAATAAATTAAGTACTTGTGTTTTTAAATAAGCATCAATACTTACCCAAGCATTCCTGACTCTTTAGTCTTTATGATGTAGAGGAACATTAACAATGTATGAAACATATTATTTCGGCCCTGGAACAAAAAGACAGCAAGATTTAAACCAAGCCAAACAAAAAATTATGCGAACCAAACAAAAAGATAAACGCAGATCCTATCAGTTCACATTCTACTAACTCAGAATTCCGTGTAATTCAGACTTTCATTTGCATGGATTTGGACAGAAACTTCAATGGTCCAAAATATTAACACTTACAAAGGTGAAATGTTAAACTTGAAAAAAGGAAATTAGTATTAATTAATAATAGGAATAGGAATTTGATGGAGAACACAATTTATGATTATAGTCAATGTAAAATTTCTTAGTAAAGAAGCTGGTAACAACACCAAGTGCAAAGATCATCAGCAGAAGTGATGTTTGCAGTCAAGAGTAAAATACCTGAATAGAAATGTAAACTGGTACAATAATCTTTTGTAGAAAGTAGTTTTATAATGTATTTTAAAAGCCTTGAAAATATTCTATAACCTAGAATTCCACTTTTGGACTTTAAGCTAACAAAATTACCCAAAATGCAGATAGCTATATCCATAAAAATGAATACTCAGCAGTGTTTATATGATAATGAAGAATTAGAATGTCCAAAATGTCCAACGATAGGGGAATGATTGAATACATTATGTTATAATCTTATGATAAACTTTTTTACAGCCATTAAAAAGTGTTTCTATGGAAGCTTTTTAATGGGATGGAAAATTATGGTTTTTTAAGGTAATTAAATTAAGAAGTTAATTTTTAAAAAGGAAATAAAATTACATAAATATGATTTCAACCCATAAAATAGCACAGAGAAAGACCAAAATGAAATTTACCAAAGGCAATACACCAAAAATGTTAACAATAGCTGCCTTTAAGTAATGGAATAATGAATGATCTTTCTTCTTTTTCTTTCCCAAATTAAGCATATATTACTTTTATAGTTAAAAAAAGGGGGATATTCAAGAAATGCATTTTCCCTAATTTAAAAAGTTTACCCATTCCCTAAACAAGAGACTCTAAAAAATATTATCAAAGCAAGTCATCCGTGACACTCTGTAATAGCAATTTTTACATTTAGAAGTACCTTTGGAAGATTGTAGACATGACGCTGGTAGATTAGCTCATAATGGGGAGGGTTGATAGCACTCTGATAAATGCAAAAAACATTCTCATTTGTCACATCTGTAAAGAAAATATGCTACATTAACAAAACAAGCCAACCTCTCTATGTATCTCATGTGAAAACCTCAACCCATTCTGTTAGGAAGTTTATACCTGGTTTATTTGGTGTCTGAACAAAGTGCTGAGAAGTAAATGTTTTTCCGTCAGGGTACTTAGGATGTGGAGGTAATCTGGAATCGAGGTAGGTGCAAAATACATGCATGATGATCTGAAGATGAGGAAACAATTTTTCAAAATCAGCATGAAAATCTATCATGGCTTTAAGCCTTTGTTTATAATGACTCCAATTTTAAAATTTTTCCCTAAAGAGAGAACTAGCAAAAATGCTTTCAAGTGGTTACATTTATAAGATGAAATCTATAAAATGAAAAGAGAAAAGCAAGACATTCCCAGTTTTCTGTTAAGTGGATTGTTCATACCCATATAGTTAACAACAAAAAAAACAACGGGGCGCCTGGGTGGTTCAGTCGGTTAAGTGGCTGCCTTCGGCTCAGGTCATGATCCCAGAGTCCTGGGATCGAGTCCCGCATCGGGATCCCTGCTCAGTGGAGAGTCTGCTTCTCCCTCTCCCTCTGCCTGCCTCTCTGCCTACTTGTGCTCTCTATCTCTCTGTCAAATAAATAAATAAAATCTTAAAAAAAAAACCAACAAGATAAAAATACACATATATTCTCAATTTATCAGCATTTGAAACTTCATTTTTACATATAATGTGATTATTAAAACAATAAAGAACATGATCTTGAAAAACTCTTAAATGCTCAAAAACATTATACTCTTCGATTTCATCAATCTTAATTCTAGGATTTTTTTTTTTTAAGAGAGCGTTAGTGTGTGTGGGTGGGGAACAGAGGGAAAGGGAGAGAGAATTTTAAGCAGGCCCCACTCCCAGAATCTTATGGCTGATCTCACAACCCTGAGGAGATCATCACCTGAGCGAAAATCAGGAGTCAGAGACTTAACCAACTGAGCCACCCAGGCTCCTCTAGGAATCATTCTTTTTTTTTTTTTTTTTAAAGATTTTATTTATTTATTTGACAGAGAGAGACACAGCGAGAGAGGGAACACAAGCAGGGGGAGTGGGAGAGGGAGAAGCAGGCTTCCCGCCGAGCAGGGAGCCCGATGCGGGGCTCGATCGCAGGACCCTGGGGATCATGACCTGAGCCAAAGGCAGACGCTTAACGACTGAGCCACCCAGGCACTCCTAGGAATCATTCTTAAAGCCATAATCCCAAATAAGAAAAAAATATGCATCACGATATTCCTTGCAATCTTAAAACAGAAACTAAATAATTCTCAAACTTTTAGCTCCAATATAAGAAAACAGTTAATTGAGTGTGTGTAATAATGAAAAAATACTTAAACATTGCAAAAGTGAAAAAAGAATATAAAATTTTACATGTGGGATGATTACAACTATGATAAAAACATTAAAAAATAGTGCAATCTAAGTAAAGGGAAAAAAAGAAAATACACCAAAATATATTTTTTTTAATGTTTTTTTTTATTTATTCATGAGAGTCAGAGAGAGAGAGGCAGAGGCAGAGGGAGAAGCAGGCTCCCCACCTAGCAGGGAGCCCGATGCGGGACTTGATCCCAGAACCCTGGGATCATGACCTGAGCCAAAGGCAGACGCTTAACCATCTGAGCCACCCAGGCGCCCCCATACACCAAAATATTAACAGTGGTTAAGATGCTGGTAAAATTTTAAATTTTTATTTCTACCTTAGTTTCTAAATTCTTTTTAATACTTATTTTTATAATGGAAAAATAAAAGTATATAATGTAACATGGAAAAATGTTAAACCAAAAAAAAAAAAAAAGTAGGGACTTACAGCAGAATCAGTGGGCAGGTCTGTATCCCACTTGCGTCCTTTGAAGTCTCCACCTCTATTCCATCGAAATGAACTCATACAGCCTCCCTGAGAAAGTTCTGGAGAAACAAAGATGAAATTTAAAAAGCCAAAAAAATAAGAAAAGAAAAAAGGCCAAAGGGCTACAATAAGGGAAGCATATCATCTTAAAAACCTGATGAAAACACCCAAATATAAAGAAATACAAGATATAAAAGATTAACTTACATATTACCATTCGGGGTTCTTAAAAAAGTCAGTGTCATGTGGGGAAAAAAGGTAGGGCAGAACTGTTCCTGAGAAAGTGACTAAAAAAAGATAAAACAACATACGGTAATGTGTGAACCTACACTCTATTCTGGTTAGAAAAAAAGGGTATGTTTTGAACAATTGGAAAATTTGAATATGAACTGTGTATTAGATGATATTATAGAAATATCGCTAATTTTAAAGGTCTGTTAAGTGTATTGGGGTTATGTAGGAGAATGTTCTTATTTTTAGGAAATTGCATGCTGCAAAGTAATGATGTCTGTAATGAATTTCAAATGGTAGAGCAAATAAATAAAAGTGCATGTGCATATATGTAGAGAGAATCAATGACAGCGAAATGTTGGTAACCATCCAACCTAGAAGGCCTATATAGTGTTCGCTGTACTTTTTAAGCTTTTTTGTATATTTGATTATTTTGCATACATGTGTACATACACGTATTTTTTGGATACACAAATATCCTGCTATCAGGCAATCTTGCCAAAAATTGCAACCTGAATTTACAGGAAATACAGAGGACAGAGGATCATGTAAAATTACACCCCATGGAGACGTATTCAGTAAAATCCATACCATGGGCAACTCTATAGCACAAACAATTCAGTTTTTTCAACAAGTAAGTTGCAGAGAAAAAAAAAAAAAAGGATGGACAGGAAACCTATAGCTTAAAAGGAACTTATAAGATTTATTTATTTGACAGAGAGAGAAAGAGAGAGAGAGTACAAGCAGGGGGAGTGGCAGGCAGAGGGAGAGGGAGAAGCAGGCTCTCTGCTGAGCAGTGAGCCCGATGTGGGACTCGATCCCAGGACTCTGGGCTCATGACCTGAGCAGAAGGCAGACGCTTAACCGACTGAGCTGCCCAGGTGCCCAGGAACTTAAATGCTTGCTTTATCAACCAGTCATACCATGTGATTATATTTGAATCCCAATTCAAATAATACCAGAAAAAGTAATTACACATTTTATGAGTTGGTTGGAAATTCATACATAAGGTATATATTTCATGATATAAAGAAACTGTTAAAAAATATTAGGTGTGATAATTGTATTTAGGTAAAGGCCTTATCTTTGAGACACATACCGAGCTATATATAATACAGAAAGGGAGGAGACAGATGGGGCTATGGATAGGGCTTGGGATGCCCAGGGACTGAAGGCTGCAGGGACCAGGGGCTATGTACAAGAGGCTTCAGCATTCTGTTGTGTCTAGTTTTATGAAAATCTGAATTCTCCTTATAATAAAAAGCTTCTTAAAAGTCACGATAAATGATTATTCCTGAACCCTAGTCCAAACCCAGGGGAGAGAGGGGGCACCATAACGCTTTCAAATTAAAATTTATGAGAAATCTGAAGAGTGAAATACTATTTCTAAAACTTGTTTTAGTGATGAGAACATTTTACAGTTTATCCAAATAAAAGCAGGGAGGCATAAAGAGAGTGTGGAATATCAGGGAGGTTAAATTTCCTGATTCTCACGCCAGTCTCCTCAGAAGATCACATTTCCCTCCCATAATCTGGACATAACAGAAATACAAAGAAGCAACATATTAAATATGAATTACAAGAATTGAGAGAAAGAAGGATCAGCATGTTGAAACTATGAAGAATGTCACAGTGGTATCCATTTTTGGTAGTTAAAAGAGTAGCAAATGAGTGAAGTATTTACTTGAGCCCATGTAGCTCATATTTAAGTTTCCCTATATAGAATAACATTAGTATTTTCAAGGCTAACGATATCATTTTGACAATTCCTTTATTTATTTGAGAGAGAGAGAGCACAAGCAGGGGGAGCGGCAGGCAGGGGCAGAGGGAGAAGCAGGCTCCCCACGGAGCAGGGAGCCTAACACTGGGACTCGATCCCAGGATACTGAGGATTATGACCTGAGCCAAAGGCAGATGCTTAACCAACTGAGCCACCCAGGTGTCCCGTTTTGACAATTCTTAAGCATATGAAATATAAAAACCAAAAGTTGTTCAAGACTTAATTAAGCCATAATTAAATATATATTTATAAAATATAAGATACTTAGTAATACTTAAATTTTTTTTCCTTGTTACTTTTTTTTTTTGGGGGAGAGGGAGAGAGAGAGAGTGTGTGAGTTGGGGGGGGGGCAACGGAAGAGGGAGAGAGAGAATTTAAGCAGGCTCCAAACTCAGTGCAGAGCCCAATGAGGAACTTGATCTCAACGACCGTGAGATCTTGACCTGAACCGAAACCGAGCCGTCACCACTGAGCCCCCCAGGCACCCCTCCTTGTTACTTTAATTTACAAAATCTCAAAGCAGTGAAATTTTTTCCTCTTCAAATTACTAGTTACCTTTGATCCTTTCAAACAAGTATTCCTGATTTGGTGTAAGGTCTAGATACTGCACAATTGTATTCAAAGTTGGAATGAGAGGAGCTTTGACCAGCGCAGCTTGTTTCAAGCTAGTAATACTAGCCTCTGTTAAAAATAAAACACACCGGACAGATTATTCTTCATGTGGGTTCTAAAAGAACTTAAAATGCTCTTTCCTCCACAGATGTTGAAGGAATAAATGAAAGCAATAACAGTTTAACAATTTGCATTATCTACACTTTACTTACAATTTCTTTTTATCATTTCTGGCACGGTGGCCAGATTTATAAACACAGATACCACATGAACACACAGTCCAAAAGCAGCAGCCAAATCCAGCCTGACAAATCTATAAACAGCTAATACACAAAATATTTTTGTGGGGTATGCATAAAAAGTTACACGAGAGCTTTCAAAATCAGGTTGAGAAGAAGTTGCCTGTTACACCACTGATAAGCACAAACTTTTTATGACAGTGATTTCTCTTATCATGAAAGACAACTGTACAAAGCAATTAATAAACCAACAGAAATTTTCAGAATGTCTAACCTTACTAGTAATACTCAACGTTGGGAAAAAGGCATTCTTCTGTGTGACATGGTTGCTAGAGGATAAACTGGTAGAAGCTTTTCAAAGGGTTATGTACATCAAAAGCCTTAATGTATTTATTCCTACTGAACTAACTCCACTTCTGAGAAATTATCCCTAAGAAATAATTACAAATGTACACAAAGATTTAGATAAAAGGATATTTACTCACAGCATTACTAATAACAGTAAAGGGCAAAAACCCTACATTTTAGATAATAAAGATCAGTTAAATACAACATATTACACATACAAAAAAGAAATACAATCTAGCCACCAAAAACAGTACTGGAGAATATTTAACAAAATAGAAAAACTGGGGGGTAAAAGTAGGCAACAAAACAGTATGACCCCAATTTAATTAGATGTACATATATGTACCATATTCCCTCAACTCCTAAATACATACTTTTAAATTTTAATGTTCTTAAATTATGGTATAACATACAATTGAGAGATATACACACACTAACATATATATTATATACATACTAAAATATATATTGTATATACCAATATTATATATAAGTATATGACTATATATATATTAGTATATATATTCTATATATATATATACACACACATACATACACTTATATAGTTACATATATATAGTTAGTATCATAACCAAAAATAATAACTGGTTGTGACTTAAAATTGATAGTGATTTCTCTCTGGAAGCAGAATTTTGGGTAATATTTTTCTTTGTGTACTTCTGTCTCTACTTTCCAGCCTCTCTACAATGAACATAGTATATAGTGCATTTGTAGTCACAAAGCAATGTCATTCTTTTTAAAAAGCACATCACACTGATATTCCTTACTTATTTTGAAATCTAATTACTTAACACTAAATAAGTTATGGTATTTTAGGCAAATTGTATGGAACCTTAACAGTTTTATTTTTTTGCAGGTAAGAGAGTTGAAAATAGGTGATTTTAAATTAGCATTATTACACATTCTTTATGCTTTGTACAACTTGGAATTAATATTTGATAAGGAACTTGTATCTAGAATATATAAAGAACACCTCAATGATAAAAAAGACAAATGATCCAATTTAAAAATGGTAAAGGATCTGAAAAGATATTTCTCCTAAGAAGATGTATGAACGGCCAATAAGCACATGAAAAGATGCCCAACATCAGTAGTCATCAGGAAAATGCAAATCAAAACCACAATGAGAAACTATTTCACACCCATTAGGACAACTATAATAAAAAGGACAGATAAGTATTGGTGAAGATGTGAGAAACTGAAACCCTCATACATTGTTTGTGGGAATGTAAAATGGTACAGCTGCTTTAGAAAAGAGTCTGCTGTTCCTCAAAAAGTTAAACATGGAGTTACCATATGGCTCAGCCACTGTACTCCTAGAGAAAGTTAAAACGTATGTCCACACAAACACTGTATACAACTGTTCATAGCAGCATTATTCATAATAGACAAAAAGTGAAAACAACCCAAATGTCAATCAACTGCTAAATGGGTAAACAAAATGCAATAGATCAATATAATAGGATATTATTTGGCAATAAAAAGAAACAAAGTACTGATAAATGTTGTAACACGGATGAACCTTGAAAACATGTGAAGTGAAAGAAGCCAGTCACAAATGACAACAGATTGTAAGATTCCATTTATGTGAAATACCCAGAATGGGTCTGTCTAAATTGGTAGTTGCCTTGGGCTGGGGAATGGGTGATGGGGGAAATGGGGTATATGGGGTTACTTTTCTGGGCGATGAGATACTCTAAAATTGATTGTGGTTGCACAACCCAAACCTCTAAACTGTAGACTTTAAATGGGTGAACTGTACGGTAAGTAAATTCTATTTCAATAAAACTTTTATTAGAAAATATATATATTAGAGACATTTAGTTTTGTCTTCACCTCAAGATAACAAAGTTGTTAAATAGCCCAGTACAAAAAGAAAATTTCTGCTTGGCAGATTCACTGATGGTAAATCAAATGTTGGGCTCTATTTTCACATACCTCCTATCTGAAGCTCAGGACAGCCCATTCGTCTCATCTGTGTGCTCACAGACTCGATCTCTTGTACCAATGGCACTAATATTGTCTCATTGATCCACTAGGAAGAAACAAGGCAAAGATTTTACATACATAATTCCAAAGCATTTCTCAAATAATTCTTTTATTTTATTTATTTA